AATGAAGCAGAATGATGAAAAAGGGGTCCCTATGTCCTCCAGCAGTCTAAGAGAGAGCTCAGGATAACCTGAGCCACTAACTATAGAGTGATAAAGTAGAGGAAAGTCAAGTAGAGAAAAGTCAATGACCACTAGGATAAATACAAGTGCATTAACTGCTACTGGAGCAAAGCTGGTCCTGTAGCAAGGGGTCCTGACTCTCAGGACAATGAATCTCCATCCAGAAGGAAGCTGCAGGAACTCGCTCACCGGGGGGATGGAGTCGCTGGTGGAGACAGAGTTATTCAGTCACTATACGACGAACAACGAAAGACTTTATGCTTCTGAACAACTCGTTTTGGATTCAAACATCAGTTATGCTTAAAGCAGCAGGTTTTAGCTCCACCCCCTCATCTCTCGCGCCTGAACAAATTCAGGAAGCAGGTCGTGATTGTTGGTCCTTTCAGAGGGACTCCCAGACAATCAGATTCATAGTGATGGGGATTTCTGAAAATTTTGAATTTTTTGGCATAAACTCAAAAGCTTAATGCATTTTAAAACAGTTCTGAATGTTGGCATCTGCTGGATGTTATGAGAACCAACTTTCAGGGGTATCCTAATGTCTGCATTCATTTGTATGTGGGACCAATCCTGTCATAATTAGAAAACAAAGAAATAAAAGAGTCTCATGAATATAATCCAGTGGCAAAATAATAGCTTAAAACTTAAATTAGTGAGCCATTAAATGTAACAACCAATTCACTTACAAACACACCTCAGTCTAAGTTAGATCAATTGTCATGTTTCTAGTACTCTAAGCCACAGGTTTCAAACTGGTTCCAGAAAGGGCCGCTTGGCTGCAGGTTTTCTTTCCAACCAAACAATAGGAGACCAGACTTTATATCATCAAGTCAGCATGTTCAGCTTGGACTCCCTAGATGAGATGAATGGAGTCTGCTGCTATTGCTTGGTTGGAAAGAACACCTGCAGCCACAAGGCCATTTCCGGAACCAGTTTGACTCCCCTGATTTAAGCATTCTGAAAGCTCTTCCATCTCTTATGTTCACACTGAGTGGCTTAAAACACAGCAGGAAATCAAAGTGGGCTACATTAATAATTGGCAATCCTTTTGGGGAAAGCCTGGTCTGATTC